TCTGACCTGTGATATATGGACAGAAATGATGCAGGGTGAGGGTCAAGGATTGCAAAACTGGAGTTCTTCCTGGTAGTCCTCATTACAAGGACTTGGTACTGGAGGACCTTTGAGTGTCTTCACTTATATAATAGACTTCTTTCTAAAGCTTCCCTTGGAGGAGAACCATAAGGTAGAGGGGTGAAGGGTGGAGACAGACAAGGAGCAGGGAACTGTCCTTTTCAATTGGATTCAACTCCTGAACAGGTTGTGAACCTGCTGGAGTTCACAACTGGAGATGGGAGGTGTTGGTTCCAGTTCAAATATCAATTTCAAAACTTCATTGATTAAGGATTATCCCTTAAAGATCCAGTTCCATCATAAACCTCCCATCTCATTCATTTCTAAACCTCTTTAATTCAAATCCCTTTAATGACCCAGGGTACCTCTAAGGCAAATGAATCCCATCTCATTCATTTCTAAACCTCTTTAATTCAAATCCCTTTAATGACCCAGGGTACCTCTAAGGCAAACCCTGGGACAAGCTGAATGACAAGGACTTGCCTGGGAAATTCCAGGGCAGGGCTACATACACCCCACACCCCAGCAGTTCTTCACCCAATCATTTCCACTTTAGATACTGGGTGGTTCAGTAAGAGGGTGATCCCCAGGAAAAGGGGGGGTTCCAGGTTCCCTACTCCACCCAAGGGAGGGTGGAGCTGAGCAGGGAGGCAAGAAGCTGGGGAGGGACAGAGGAGGTAGGAAGGATGGAGAGGAAGAAGGAGACCTTGAGGAAGCACAAGGAGCAGAGACACGTGAAGAAACTGCGCTTGCATCTCGGCCTTGGTCTGGTTGAAACAGATGTGGGTGAGAGACCATGGGGAGGTTAACAAAGACAGATTTTTGATTTTTCTCTTTTCCTTGGAGACTTGTCTATTTCTGACCCTTTTCTATGAGTCCTCATAGGAAGGTGCTTTATACTTGTGACAGGCTTTCGGGCCTTGCTTTGGGCCAACCCTGTTTGACGGGACATTTACCTAAGAGGGGATGGATAACCTCAGGTGCTGGATCTGGAAACTATAGTCATTATCTTTTCTTTGTTGTGGACTAATTGCATTAAAGTTCCTTTCCATTAAAGGTCTTGTATGTTTTGTCTTGATGTGATGAATGGCAGAACCTATTTAGATGGGCAGGTTTGAGGGTTCTGGGGTGCCCCTCTCCCTGCCCTGTCACAGTTCCCCTAAGAAAGACAATTCCATTGAGGAAGCTTAGGACAAACGCTGGGGCTAGGCTGGTTAGAAGACACCCTGCATAAAGAATTGATGATGTTGATGACAAGCTCTCAAATGATTCCTACTGTGTTTCTTTTTCTCTTGGTTTGATTATCCTCTTCCAGAGAGATGTGCTACCCAGAGAGAAGAGCCCTAACTGAACGACAAATGCTCCCTTGAGCCAAAAAAAGAGAAGCACACACATGTCTTCTTTTGCTGTTTACATTTGGGCAGCAGGCCATCATTTTGGAGCAGCTTTTTCCTGAAACATTTCCCCTAAGTTCCTTTCTCTGTTCTTTACTATTCCAATTTTCTATATACGCTCTCTAAATTAGGGCTGAGTGGGGCCGTGGCAGGAGAAGGGAGAAAGAATGAAAGAAGCAACTAGAACTAAACATGGGTGCACCTGGCAAAATTATCCTCATTGTCATGATTTTTTAAGGTTAAGAGTCACCATTTTGTGCAAATGCAATCCTTGCTTCCCCCAGGCTTGACTGTGAAAAGCCTTTCAAGGAGTGAGTTAATTTTTGCAAGACTTCAGAACATTGACCTTTGCCCCCAGCCTGCCACTGGGACTGCAACCATCCCCTCTCCTGCAGGTTCCTAGATCTTGGGAGAAGGGCTTTTTCTGGAAAGGTCTCTTGTAAGCTACAAACCTCACCTTTTTCCTTTTTCTGAGTCCCATAACAAGGGTCCTGGGTTGAAGAACATTTGAGGGTTCTGTTCATATAGCTGCTTCTAAAGCTCACCTTGCCTCCACGGTTCTGGGTTCCCTCACTTTCTTCTAATTCAGGGCCACTGGGTGGGCCTTGCCCCCAGAATGACTGCTTCATCTCTGTGTCATCTCTTTCTCTTTGAGTGTCTGTTTCCCAGGTATGATCTCCATCCTGAAGTCCTCAACAAATTTTTTGGAGGCTGGAGAGTCTCAAAGTAAATGAAACTCACAATGGGCTGGCCCTTATGGGTTCTAGAACTCCTGGTGGACTAGCAAGTCTACTTTCTTTCGACAAAGGCTCGGGGATGGAAAAAGGGAGATTTCTTTATAGGCTACTTCATTTCTCCCTGATTCCAGTCACAGACTCTTTTGGATTGACAATATCTGGGTTATAACCCATATATTGAAGTGAGTCCCAGGGCAAATTCAGGTTAATTAGCTTCAGGGACAATACAGACAGGGACTCAGGGAGAATTAAAGAGGCTTCTGAGATAAGGACACTAAATTACCTGAGGAGAGGTGCTAACCAAAACATATCCCAAGGAGAGGGAGAAAGCTGACCCTGGACTCCAGAAAGGCTAATGGGGGTAGTAAATTTTAGAAGACCTTGGATAGGGGAGATAAATTCTGAGATAGAAGGTGGGAAAATGGGCACATCAGCCTGGAGGTGTATGGCCACCAAGAGAAAGAACCAATCCCAAAGTAAGATGATGACATCTTAGGACAGAGGAAAAAGGTTTAAATATCCCCTGTACACAGGCCCATTTGGCATCTTATGTCCCCTTTGGCATTGCAGCCTTGGAGTCTTTGCTTTTGTTCTTTCTCCTCTAAAGAAACTTTTCTTTACTCTCTAAATAAAGATTTGCTTCTCTCTGCTTATTTATATGAGGGTTCGTCAACAAATTCCTTTTTACAGCTTCAGGGACAAGAACTTGTGGTGGTTTAAGAATTACTGGAGTGAAAAACAGCAACAGCAGCTGTAATCATGGTAACAGTGCACACTGGCTTCAGGAGCAATTGTATGGTGTGTGTGTGAAAGAAGGAAATATTTTCAATTGTCTCCAAAAGGTTGTGAAGAAATAACAAATTAGTTTCTCTTTACAGTTCTTCACACCGGTTGTGTCTCAGGACAATGAGGAGCCGGATTCATCTGGCAGTGGTCATGACGGCAAGTGGTCAGTCAGAATAGGCTAAAGCCGCTCTTTGGTCTTAGTTTTACAGTCTGCTGGGCAGTGGGGGGTGGGCGGGAGGTTGGGAGGTGAAGGATGTCTGCTTTTAGTGAGCAAGGGCTGATGGGATTCAAATGCTAGGAATGAAAACCTCTCCAGAATCTCAACTCACTGATGTTGTCAGTTTACAAAACATTGTTCTTGATCAAAATCAAAAAGGGAAGCATACAGCAAGTAACTCCCAGGCCTAAATTCAAACTGTATCATACTGTAGAAGTTGTCATGTCCAACCCATGTTATTAGTAAAACTCCATGTGGATTGGGGTGTCTGGGTGTAATGAGAGTAGCACTCAAAAAAAGTGAAGCTTAAGATGATTAGTGAAAAGATTGGCATATATATGGGAAATATATTATTAAAATATATCCATAAATAACAATAAACATGAATAATATATATTATTAGATAATATTAAAAATATATAAATTATGGGTTTTTTTCCTCCAGATTTCACCTTTTTTGCTAGTATACCCTCAAGCCAGGGTCATGAAACCAAGTGCTATGGTTCCGATACTAGCAGTCACCTTGGACGTTCAAGCACAGAAAAGAGCCTAGATTTGATTGCTCCCTGGGATGAGGTTTTATTTTCTCAGATTAAGTAGGTCAGAGTGGATGCAATGCCTGCCCTAGTGCACAGGGGCCCTGCCAGGCTCTTCCCTGCCCCACCAGGGAAAGGGCTGTAGGACAGCCCTGGTGGTGTGTTCTACTGCAGGGAAAAGGAGAAAGCTGACCCTGGACACCAAGGACACCTGTGGCATGGAGATACGATTCTTAAACAGTCCTTCACCTTCTGCTTGTCCATTGTGACCAAATGTGTCTAGGCGTGACTTCTGTGACAGCAGTCCCAGTATTCTAGAAGTCTGAGGTAAAGTTGGGGAGAGGAAGGATTAGGGTCAAAATAAGAGGGGGTGCAATTTCATGGGGAATATAACCAAAATGAAATACAATGTGCAAAAATGAAAAATGATGTAAGAATTATATAAAACATTCTAAAAAACTACCATTGCCCCAAAGGACCAATCAAGCTGCCCCCACCCCCAACCCTACCACTTGGTTGCAGAGTTGATAGTGGTATTTGACTGACAGCTGTTTTGTGGCGAGAATCAGAATGGAAGTGTAAGGACTGGGCATCCACTAGGAGTGTGTGCTTTACAAGGACAAGACACAGATGAGAACAGACATGCTGTGGGCCTGCTGGATTTGATACCCAAATGATATGGACGCACATGGAATGCATGAAGTTAAGGACAGGCGATAAGAGGAGGAATCATTTTGTGTCGGAATGAATTTACAGTCTGCCCATTTGGGGGGTGGGGGGACATTTTGCTATCCATGATTGGGCTTCTGGAAAAGCAAGTCGAGGAGGCATCTGAAGGTGGGTAAAACTGAATGGAATTTGAATTCCATAATTGCGACAGCAATTTCTGCAATCAGCTCAACGCTCTATTCCCTGCTCCTGCCACAACGCTCCCCCTCCCCCCAGGAAAAAAAAAAATCCCTGCAGCACAAAGCCAAGCTGGATCCGAAGTGGGTTAGGGTATTATATAAGCCCTTGGCGGGAGTGGAGATGGTCTTTTATGTGTGTGCCTTTTGCTGCGGCTGCGGTAGCAGCAGCCGCAGCAAGAGTAGCTCAGGTTGATTTAGAATACGGATGACAGTGGCCTGGCGCGAGCCCACGGCTGACGAAAGCTGCTTCTCCCGCTCGGTTTCCATGGAGACCAGCGAGCGCAGCGGCGGTGGCGAGGCTGTCAGCGAGCGCGGCGTCCGCGCGCCCGCGGGGGTCTGCAGGAGGAAGCCGGCGGCCGGGGCCGGGCCCATCGCGGCAGACATGGACTTGCATTGTGATTGTGCCGCCGAAACTCCGGCCGCGGAGCCGCCGTCGGGGAAGATTAATAAAGCTGCTTTCAAATTATTCAAGAAGAGGAAATCAGGTGGCACCATGCCCAGCATATTTGGGGTCAAAAACAAAGGGGAGGGGAAAGGCTCGGGTCCGACGGGCATGGTGAGGAGCAGGACCCACGACGGACTAGCCGAGGTGGTGGTGCTGGAGAGCAGCAAAAAGGAGGAGCCGCGCGGAGCGGGCGACAGTGGCGGTGTCGGGGGTGGCCTGAATGGGGGTCGGCCGAACCCCGGTCCCCCCAGAGCTGCCGTGACCGGCGTGGCCTCGCTGGCCAACAGCTCTGTGGCCAAGTCCCACAGCTTCTTCTCGCTTTTGAAGAAGAACGGCAGAGCCGAAAATGGCAAAGGAGATCAGGCAGATGCAAGCAAGGCTGGCGGCAAACAAAAGAGAGGGCTGAAAGGGCTCTTCAGCAGTATGCGCTGGCACAAGAAGGACAAGCGGGGCAAGGAGGAGGAAAAGGAGGAGCGCGCGGGGGGCCCGGGGAGCCTCATCCTGCCGGGGTCGCTCACCGCCAGCTTGGAGTGCGTCAAGGAGGAAACGCCCCGACCCTCGTGCGAGCCGGAGGACCCCAGTAAGGACCCCCAGCGAGACCCTGCAGGTGAGCTCGGAGCGGGGGAGCCGGTGCTGGCCTCCGCCGATAGCACAGAAGTGCGGAACTGCCTGGAGGCCCAGAGCCCCGGGTTCCCTAAAGCCAAAAGCGCCCGGGGAGAGGACGCCGCGGGGCACCTGCGCGCGGAGAAGCCCTGGGCACTCCCCGAGCTGGGTGCTGGGGAGGTCCAGACGGCGGAGGATGCTTCCAGGACAGGTGACGTTCCGATAAAGACTGTCCCCCTTGTGGACTCGGAATGTGGCAGTGGCCGAGCGTCTGCCGTCCCTGACCTTTCCTCTGTTGATCCACCCTCAGACCCGTCGGCTGATCGTATTTGTTTGATGTTTTCTGACGTGACTTCACTGAAAAGCTTTGACTCTCTTACAGGCTGTGGAGATATTATTGCAGACCAAGAGGAGGAGGCAGGTCCCAGCTGTGACAAGCATGCCCCCGGGCCGGGAAAGCCAGTTCTTTCTAAAAAGAACCCCACGGTGGTGGCCTACCAAGGAGGAGGGGAGGAGATGGCCAGCCCGGATGAGGTGGATGACACCTATCTCCAGGAATTCTGGGACATGCTTTCCCAGACCGAAGACCAAGGACAAAGGCCCCAAGAGGGAGAGGGTAAGGCAGCGGCAGCTCTGGAAACTAAGGTGGTACCTGAGACCTCCAAAGACGCCAGGTGTGCCGAAGCAGCAAAAGACAAATCCTCGGCCAAGCGCAGGAGGCTTAACCGTGTTCCCATGGAGCTCCAGGCGAAGGAGGAGCCCAAGCACCCAGAGGAGCAGCAGGAAGGGGTCCCCAACAGTGACGAGGGTTACTGGGATTCCACCACTCCAGGCCCAGAGGAGGAGGGCACGAGCACCAGCAAAAAGACCTCCATCCCCCGGGATAGCTGCAGTGGCGATGCGCTCTACGATCTCTACGCTGATTCTGATGCATGCCCAGCAGCCCCTCCAGCCCCCGAGGAGACGTCCTGCTTGTCCAGGTTAAAGCCCGTGTCTCCAGTCACCATTACCTGTCCTCTGCGAACCCCAGGCAGTTTGCTGAAGGACTCTAAAATTCCTATAAGTATCAAACACCTTGCAAACCTCCCAGCTAGCCATCCTGTAGCAGCCCAGCAACCAGCCAGGAGTGAGATGCCCAGAACAAAAATCCCTGTTTCCAAAGTGCTGGTTCGACGGGTGAGCAACCGGGGCTTGGCTGGGACCACCCTTAGGGCAGCGGCTTGCCACGACAGTGCCAAAAAGTTGTGAGGTCTCTGAGGCCAAGGTGAATGGAATACAACTTTCCCTGGAAACCACTAAAATCAGTTATGCTCCCTCTAAAGTCAGGCTTTTAGAGCCTGGACTGAGGTGCCAGCAGGGGCAGGGTACAGGAAACGGGGATGCTACACCCGGGATTCGCCTCCCAAGATAAGTCCCTGAGAATTATTTTCAAGCACTTTTTTTTACCTTTTGAAAATCTGTTTTCTTTTTTCTTTAATGCACTGAACACTCGGAAGACACCTTCACTTGCCTTTGCAGAAAACAGAACCTAACCAAACAGAAGTAAGCATCTTGCTGTGATATTTGGTTGTGCCAGGGTCCAGAGGCCTGGAGGAACCCCCGTGAGAACCAGAGGAATCCTGTTCTACTGACACTTTCCTTCCTTCCTTCTTTTACTTTTTCTTTCCAGGAAAAAAAAAAAAAAAGACCCTATGCTGTATCACTGTTTGGAAAACACCTACAAAGCAGAAAGAGCCAGGTATTTACCTGATGGTAAGAAGGGATCACTGATTGGCAGAATACTTGCCTACTTTTACTTGTTAAGTATGCAAATAGGTAAATATCTACCACCAGGACAATACAGGAGAATTTTTGCTTTGGTTGGTTTACATCATTTGCTTGGGAATAAATACAAAGCTCAGCAGAGCAGGTTTTTTCTTTTTCTTTTCCCATCCAGTGCAGAAATCAGGATCAGGGCAAGATTTCACAGAAGGCCAACTGTGTCTGTACTGTGTCTGTACACAGTATTTTAGCATTTATAAACTGAAACCTTTTCTTGTGTAGATAATGCATAATTTACAGTTTATCTATCCAGCTGTTAACATTTTATAATCTGTCAGTAACTTCAAGTTTAAAATCTGGTTTTATAACTAGATACGATGATTGTCCCCAAACCATTGGTGTTCTTTTATGCACTGCAACGGAAGTAATTCTGTTTTTATTTTATATGGGTTCTCTGGTTCTCAGTGCAAAAAAAAAAAAAAAATCTATTGTGTTGATGTCGCAGAGGAATGGTTCGGCCTTGTCTTAGGTAAGAATCTATTTGCTTCATACCCCAAACCCTGATTTATAGAGGTTTTACCTTGGTTACAAAAATTTTGGATTCAGTCATTCCTCATTCCAAAATGAGGAACACATAAATAAACAGAAAAATATAGTTTTTCATGTCATTTGACTTTTGTTTTATAGACTTATGACTGAGATGAGTATGTTCAGAATATGACACTGGCAAGCCTATGTATCATAAACCCTTTATGCCAAGTTTTTTTAATGAGATTTTTTAATATGTATGTTATCTATTATCTTAGGTGAAAATTTATTTCAGATTATTACACAGAAAGGGTAATCATAAGCCTAGATAGTTTGAATGACACATGGAAGCAGTTTCTACAAAGCTATTAGCATCTAATGGTTATATAATATCCTTTTTGAAATGCACTACAGTGTATTTGATCACAAGACCATAGCTTTTACCAGAGGTGATTCATGGTATCAGGAAGAGTAAACATTTTCAAGTAAAGCTACACATATGTAAATGATGTAAACACTTCTATAAAACTCACCTTCCAGAGAGATTGCTTAAGTAATGAACTGATATTACATGCTTTTAAAGTTTGTTTTCTATTTTATAAAGGAAAGACTAAGGCATGTTAAGTATATGAGAAACCGTGTTAATAATACAAAGGAAGTAACAAAAAAAATGGACATCAAAGAAAAACAAGTTTGAGGCAGTAGCACAAAGCAGGTTGTTTCACATTTTCAATTTGCAATGACTCAATTAGAAAAGGTGGTAGAGATTCTTTTTATTAGAGTACTGGCCTTTATTGCATATGTCAGATCCTTAACGTTATTTCAAAATAATGTTTTAATATTTAATCTTTTTATATGTATAAATGTCTGAGATCCTATACTCAGAGATTGCCTTAAGCACTCTGAATACACCACCAGGATTCATAAAGCAACTCACACACGTGCTCATGCACTCAACTGTGCACAAACTAACAAAGGCGTCTACTGTAAACTAAATGTATTTTAGAAATTATTTCTGTCTCCAGAAAGAGATTTAAATTTGATTTAATACTGATAGTACTATTTACACTCAAAGTATATTCACTTCTCACTAGGGAATGGAAAGAACTTATTTTTTTTCCTACATGTACAACAAAGGATCTTTATTTTCTTCTTGTGCATTTTTCTTGCAAGGGTTATATTCTCCTCTGCATGAATTCATGACAAAGTTATATTTGTTCAATTGTACAGGAAAATTAAGAATACCTGACTTACCTATGAGAATATTGTAATAGTAAAGGGAATCTAATTATCTATTTTGTAAGCAATGGAACAAACTAATTTTGCTTTCATAGTTTGGAAACTTATTTCTGCGTTTTTACTACTATGTTATGTCTTCTTTTTATAAGTAAAGGAAAATGTCAGCAAAGTTTACCTTAATTTCCCCTTGTCTGTCATTTAACCAGTGATATAATATTTTAAAAATTTTAAGTATTTTTCCATATACTTTTCTTGTTTTTTGCTCTAATCTTTAAGAATTCCACCCACACCAGTCAAGTGAAGGATTTAGACAATGAATTAAAAGGCCTCAATCATTTGATGAAGATTCAGGGCCAGGGCAGGCAGAGTGTGTCTTAACCTTTTTAACCATACATCATATATGCTTTTTTTTTTTTTTTTTTTTTTTTTTGCCAAGGGTTTCTTTCATTCATATTCATGGAGATTGCTTTTTATAATTTTAATAGGTTACTTTAATAGGTTTACTGATTTGGCCATATTTGCTCTTTTTTTTAAGGAAAGGATTGGCTATGACTTGACACCTTTCCTGTCCGTATATGGTTGAAATGCTTGGTTGATTAAATCCCTTTAGTCAAAGAGCTGGCCAAATTAGAGGAGAAAAAATCAAATCAATTGTTGGCCCTGAATTTATCAGCCATTTTAATAGCTCTGCACAAAGACAGCCTGACTTTAATATCTATATTATAGAGACAATATTACTTGAACCACTCTGCTTTAGTACTAATGGCAAATGATGCTTTTATTCTTCCATTAGCACAACCACAAGAGGAAATAGATTTTTATTATTTCACCTAATAACAACAGTGGAATATAAAACATTGTGGACTTCCTTAAAATATAAGTTACACAAATTATCTGCCTATTTAAATAATAAAGTATTTAATATATATAAGAATGATGACTTACTACTGAGTTTAAGGATTTTCTCATTAATGTCAGAAGTAGCTTTTAAATATTTGCACTTAAATGACTATTCAAATATCCCTTTGCTTACACAGTTATCATGGTAAAAAGATTTCTTTGACTGACTTTCTGAGTTTTCATTATTTATATCCTTGTCATATTAATTTTTGGAGGCTCTTCACCATTCACTTAGTATGAAGACAATGATGCTCTTCCTCTCCCTTTGTTTCCATCATGTTTACTTAGTACCCTCAGAGGTAAGGGTTCACTTTGTTAGCTTTTTTTGACATTTGCATGGTAGGACTCTATTCCTTCCACAGTCATTCTAGATTTCTCTCCTGACTCTTTACTCTCTGGATATGGGCCCTCTGCTTGGCTTCTACTGAGACATACACTTTTTCCCCTGATCATTTATGAATTAACTAAAGAACTATGTACTCTAAAACAGGAGAAAGAAGGCATCACAAGTGCCCTGTCTCACACTGAAGATGGCCAGTTAAATGTACCTGAATGAACTAAGAGGAGAATCCAGCCTGACCTGGCTCCCTTCTTCTCTAGGCGGATGAATACACAGGTCTTATTTGTGTAAGCTCAGCCTTATGAATTTTCAATTCATTACCCAAAAATATTTATGAAACACTATAACACTAATGGTTAGTTAGTATGGCAGACTGATAGCTGAAAGAGCTTAGGTGGGGATGCAAGAGACAAGTATTGATACAATGCAGCCACTGTAACATTGTCAGGCTAATATGTAGTTGTGGCTTCTCATCAAAGGAGTCACTGATTCTGCAACCCTGTCCTGCTCTGAAGATTTTCTGATGTCTGTCGTGGGTTGCTTCTCAAAGCCTTTCACTGTGATAATGGTTTAAAGGAGACCATTTGTTGTAACAATAGCCACTTACGGGAATGTTATTATCTCACTGCAGATAATGTTTTAAGGAGGGTTTCAGAATGATGGCTTCATGATTATGGAAAGGAGTTCCTTCTGGAACTGAAAATGGAAGATCAAAACAGTGACAGTCTCCAGAACTGAGATTGGGCACATTTTATCACTACTATTTACTTTTTAATTCAACACAATCCATCTTTGTGGGAATATTCTGTATTTAACACTTAATAAAATCCATTCAGTTTGGAACTCATACCTATACTATAACTAAACTTTCTTAATATTCATTAAAAACACCTTTATTTTACTCTACTTACCTTTTTTTTGGTATTTGTTGTTTAAGTTTATGGGGGTAGATTAGAATGGGGTGAAGTTGAAGAAGGGTGGTATGGATTAAACTGCACAAATTATATCTAAAAATAATAATAGTCAATATAACAATGATTAACATTTTTGAAGTACTTACTAAGTGCCAATCACTGCTAGGAGCTTTACAAATAGCCACTTATCCTTTTGACAGCCATGTGGATTAAGTAATACTATCTACTTAACCTGACATTTAATTCTTCCTTTTTCTTTATTCCTTTTTGTTTCTCTGTCTATCATCTCTGGGACTGAGATATAATCTCTGCAGTGATTTACAGTATTATAAGAGCTAAGACTGGTTAATAACATTACCAACTCATTTTAATAGAACTGCTAACCCATGTCCACGAAGATGAAAATTGGTTTTGTGTCCGAGGCTCTGGTGCTCTTATCACTTACAGGGATACCTGCCACTGTTGTACAGTTAGCAGGCAGACTGTATGCTTTCATTTGGAGGTATCCCCTCCTCCTTGTGATTAGCATCAAAAGTACAGACAGAAAGCTCTTATGTTGCCATGGTAACACGTCTTCCTTGATGAGATTTCAGTCATTCTAAGCATGTTTCACTTCTTGTTATTTCACCTTAAGCCCTGTCTAGGCTGCTTCTGGGTGTTCTGTGTTGTTTGTTTGAATAGTTGCTAGCTTACCTTGTTACAATTTGAATAGTTGCTAGCTCACCTTATTACAATTCTGAACTTCAGAGATAAGCTCCTGGCTTTTTGGAAAGAGGTGCATTCTGTATTCTGCCTGTGACCATAAACTACTGACCTATAAATTTTTTATTTATTATTTCTTTCAACTAATGCTTACTGAACAATTATAAGGCAGTCCATGACTTTGAGTATTTCATATTTAGTTAAAATGACTAGCAAACACTGTGTTTCCTGTGTGCCAGAAAGATGATGCTCTGTGCTTTCTTTACACTGTTGTCAGCTCCACTTTCCACCAGGATCATGTAAGGTGGGTGCTGACTCCGTCCTACATAGGCAGAAAAGCATGCTCATAAAGGTGAAATACCTTATTCAAAATCCCCCTTTTAATTAGTAATGGACTGAATTTGAACCAGAAATCTAACTCTACAGCTCATGCTTTAATTATAAGTCTTTTTTAGCCATATGATTCAGTGTTTGTGTTATTGATTTTAAGGAATTAATCAAGGTTTTGAACAGCAAGAGCCAAACCAGATTTTTATGATTGTGGACACCATTAAAACGACTATTTTACTTGAAGGTGAACTTGTTTTTTTCAAAGAAAAAATATTTGATGGCTTTTATACATGCAACTCTAAAATGTAGATCTCATAGAGTCTAGCAGGTGGTTTTTTTTTTTTAATCACCTGATCAGTCAAACTTTTGGACCATACTCACCACGTATTTTAGAGTTACACACTAGCAGCTTCTACATACAGATTCTGTAATCAGATGATTGCTTTGTCAATAATAAAAACAAAAGGAATTTTAGTAGTGAATCCGAGGTTGCAACCTGAGTTTTCTTCCACTCTGATTCTAAAATGCCATTATGCCACTGTCATAATTAATAAGGTTTATTTACTAACAGATGGATGCCTACACTTACAAAAATGCATTTAAATGAATTCTGACCTTATTTTAATGACATGCAGTTGGACACTGCAATAACAGAGGTCATTCTATTGGATTGTAAGTTGGGGTTATGTTTGGAAATTATTCAATAATTGAGTAGAGTAGTAGAAAAACTCTTTAAGAAGATACATTTTTAATAAAATTTCACCTAGATTACTGATTACTGGAGATTTATTAAACTTTCTCAGATACCTACCTGAACCATTTAATAACCTAAAGAAGAAATATTAAAATATCTGGTCACATCACAGATGGGCATAGCATGGACACACAGTAAGTATTTGCTAACATATCATGAAGTCACCCAGGCAGCCTGAAGGAATCAGTGAATCTCGAATGACTACATTATTTTTACATCCACTGCACAGTAACTTTTAAATAAAGGAGAAACCCTAATAAAGTAATATTTCACATTTTTTATTGCTTTCAGGATAAATTCTACTAAACATGGAGGATCTGAGAGTGAGAGTTTTATCAAAAATATCAGGGAAATTATTTGTTGTTAAAGGCAAAGTAAATTCCTGTTATTTTTACTTGATTCTAGCTATCAGGCTCATTGTTAACTTCAGGTTTTGTCCAAATCATTTATATGAAATATCTCAGTGTTATATAGGGAGTTGTAGGTTATTTGAAAATAATGACAAAGAAGACTCAAATGAAAAACTCCATTTCTATAATTAGTTTTCCTGAAAGTCAGGCATGTCTTTGAAGACAGGCTTTTGGGCTGTGTTATTTTTGTGCACAAAAGGAAAATTATTAGTAGGTTTATAGATATTATTTTTATAATAGAATGTTAAACTCCCCTAAGACTTCAAAAAGTGTCTCCTAGAACTACTCTATGTTTTTAAAACTTGTTTTAAAAAAGGATTCTAAATAGCAATAGGGTCTTTTCCTTCTCCACTCCAATGGTTTAATGGGATAGATGAACCAATGTTTATATTTTTAAACTTGTAAATATTTTATTTTGGGTATTTTGTATATTTGTTGGCATAATTCCATTCTGTGCTTATGTATCATCATGCATGTTGCTGTTTTTGATAGTCATTCTTTTAATGAATGTAAGAAAAGCTTGGACTAATGGCACTTTTCTTGTTTCATTCAAACATCTTAAAATGAAAATACTACACTGCCATTTTAACTGTTGTGTTTAATTCAGTCAATAAATTTTGTCAGCCTTTACATTTAAAGTGGGTTTTGTTAGTCATTATTATTCCAGGATGAAATTTACTTCCAGCCTGTCCAAGTTTTAGAATTTATACTAATGGTTGTGATTATGGTGATGTGATATGTGTGTATGTGGGTGGATGTGATGTGATGTGC